GTATTTTGTAATCACTGGTTTTCAGCATTTTATTAGTAGATCGTTTTATCACATGACCGCATAATTTTGCAAAGAGCAATAAAATATACAGCGCACATCACTTAAAGATTGTAATGAATTTGATAATTTTTAAAAGATTATAAAATGTGATACAGAGATAATACCAAAAAAAGAAAGTTAACATTTTGAAACTAAGTTAATTTACTACAAATTGTCAATCTCTTTTTGAAAAAATAATTATTCATTCTTAACTTATGGTATCTTAAAAATATTCGACTTTTATATGATCAATATCTAGTAAGACAAAATATAATTTAATAATTACATGAATTAATTTTAATTAGGTAATTGTGTGATCATATTTTTATAATTTTTTTCTTAACGAATAAAGAGTAATGATCAAATCGAAAAGTTACATGATTTGTTATAAAGCAAGCATAAATTAATTTTTTGTTTTAATTTAATTTTTAGATTGAGAAATGGAACAAATTACATGATTTCAGTTTTTAGATAGTGTGTACTGTAGTATTGGAAATCTAATAGATTATATAAAATTTATAAAAACAGATAAGATAAAAAATTTTCTTGTGTGTTCAATAAGAAAGAGAATATTGACAGTTCGATATATACTTTAAAAATATCAGGTTCACAATATTACTATAAATATCAGACACCTGAATGAATCTAAAAAAAATATCGTACTTCTAATATTACTATTTATTATTATGTACTTGATATTAATAAAATATCAGATATTTGAGATTAAAATAAAATTTATCACATAGCTTTTAGGTGTATTATAAAATTTACAAAAGTACTATTGGACTCTTTAAAAAAAATGTAGATATCAGGCTCCTGATATATATAAAAATATTTCATATGCTTAATAATTTTTCAATAATTATCTGATATTTGAAAATATTAGAGGGTCAATAGGTATCCAATAGATATTCAATATTTGAATTTTGACCTGTGTTATATTGAAATATATTGGAGGACAATAAAACAATATGCATGAAATAATTATAATTATACTTAGAAAGGTTTATAACAAATTGTTCCTATTGTATTAGGTTTAATTCCTTTATCTCAAATTAGAACATTTGCTTATAGATATATGAATATATATAAAAATGGATTAAATGCAAAATAAGTAGAATATGCTATAAAAAAATATATAAAATATTGTATAATTCCAAAATCAATTATTAATAATATTCAATAAAAAAATCAAATTCTAGTCACAAAATCACATGATATTTACAATAATTTTAAGAGTTGCTGTGATTAAATAACTCAAACTATTTATTGCAAACATATATTTCATGAGCATATATATGGAATTCCAATATTAACTAATGATGCTTGGAGAAAATTTCAATAATTATTTGAAGAAAATGGATTTGAAATCTATGAAAAAAGGGAATTGGTATTATAGAGATATCAGAACAATCTGAAGAAAGTCATCTTTTTTTATTGTTTCTGAAATTTGAAATCTTAAAATTTCCAAAAATACAAATGCACCTAAGAATATTATGAATTCAAATAAAAGGATGGAACTGAATTAATTTTTCTTATTCATGAATCAGCCCTATTGCTACAAGTTCTTTAATATACTCTAATTCTACTCTTTATCCAAGTTATGAATTGACTAGTTTATTTGTATATTTCTAATCTATTTTAAGCAAAAACTTGTCACGAATCTTTTATTTATTAATGGTAAGACATGTGATTGTTGATTTTTCTCTGATAGCTTCATTAAAAAAAACCAACTGGCTTTGTTCGGGAAAGCCGAAAATAAAATAAAGATATTTTTTGTGAAAAATAGAGTGTGATGATTATAATATTACACATAAAATATGTACATGTGATTTATATAGTGAAACAACCCACTTCTTAGGTTTTCTTTCTGATCTGGATTTGTTTTCACAATTCTTTCACAATGAGACCAACAAATTATTATGAAGTACTCGGTGTTGATACGAATTCTCCTGAAAGTGAAATTAAAAGAGTATGTTTTCTCGCACGATAATGGACCAAAAGTTATTGTCATTAAAAAACTTTTTTTTATACAAAATTTTTTTTTAGGCATATCGAAAACTTGTAAGTATTGAAAATTCCGAGTCATAATAAATTATGACCTACTCAGATCGGGATTTGGTATAGAGTTATAGAGTTAGTTTTTGATACATTAAAACTAGAAAAAATTCGAAAAGTTCGAATTATCGTTTTACCAAATGCAACAAATACAATATTACAGTTAAGTCTCTCTAATATTCCCCATTTTCAAAGTCCTATTTTATTATAAAAAATGGAAATTGGGTCGTTTATAGTCACAATCCACTATAGTCGTGGTCTTGACCAGGTGATCTTAGAGAGACTTGACTGTATTCTTTAAAAGAAGTTGTCGATTTGAAGGATTTAACCAACGCGTATACTTTACACACATATTAAAATGTTGTTATATAGGCGATGAAATTTCATCCAGATAAAAACCCAGATGAAGCCGCCTCAGAAAAATTCAAGGAAATCAGTCACGCGTATGATATCTTGAGTGATCCAGAGAAACGGTAAAAAATTAAGAAATTCAAAAATAGTTTAATTATTTTATATTTCAAAAATATTTTAATTTAAATATTTGGTATCTACAGTGAATTATATGATCGTTATGGTGAAGAAGGTCTCTCAGGAGGTGGCGGTAATTCCATGACGCCTGAAGATATATTTGCAAGCTTATTTGGTTTCAGTACCAATATGGGAGGTATGAGAGATGGATAGTAAATTTTTTTTTAAATTTTTTTTTTTCGATTTTTAATTATTTATTAAAAATTTAAATTTTAGGCAGTGGATTTACCAGACAAAGACGAGGTGAAGATATTGTAAAGCCTTTTAATGTCACTTTAGAAGATCTCTACAATAGCAAAACAGCCAAAATATCTTTACAAAGAGATGTGGTCTGCTCAGTTTGCCATGGGTAAATATTATTTCTTAAATTGTTAAAAATTATAAATCCTTTTAATATATTTTTTTTTTGTAATTTGTGTAGCAAGGGCAGCAAAACTGGTGCGACCAGAAAATGTCATAGCTGTGATGGTCGTGGTGTTAAAGTTGCAATGCGACAAATCGGTCCCGGCATGATTCAGAGGATAAACACGGTTTGCGCAATGTGTATGTTCAATACTTGGACTTAAGATATTTTCTATGGAATTCTTCATCATCATCATTTAAATCTCCTATATATATGTAAATATTTTTAGGTGATGGTGCGGGAGAAGTAATTAGAGAAAAAGACAAATGTAAAAAATGTAGAGGAAAAAAAGTTGTTGAGGAAAAGAAAAAACTAGACATCTTTATTGAAAAAGGCATGCAAAACAACCAGAAAATTGTTATGCAAGGTGAAGCAGATCAGGAGGTATTATTTAGATCCGGTTTATTAATTATTGACGATATATTGATCATTATTATCATTATCATTATTATAATATAATTCTAACAAATGTTATTTTATTAGCCTGGTGTGGAAACGGGAGATGTAATTCTTGTTCTTAAACAAAAACCTCATGATAGATTTGAGCGTCAAGGTAATGACTTAAAAACTGAAGTAAATATTTCCATTACCGAGGCTTTATGTGGGTTTTCAAAGGTTCTTGTCACACATCTTGATGGACGTGGTTTAATTATAAACCAACCTCCGGGTGAGGTAATAAAGCCTGGATCTATAAAATGCATACCAAATGAAGGTATGCCACAATATAAAAGGCCAGACTTTAAAGGTAACTTATATGTCAAATTTACTGTTGAATTCCCATCACCTTTATGGATCACTCCCGAGAAATTGAAGGTAAGAAACTTTAAACGAAAAATTTATTTGAAAATTAAATTTTTCAATTAAATTCATTTTGAAATATAATAGGAATTGGAAGCTTTCTTGCCACCTCGCAAAGAAGAAGATTCTTCAACTAAACCCGAAATTTCAGATGAGGTTCAAATGATTGATGGTAATTTTAGTGAGGTAATATCTGTCAAGCATTGTGTATTTGACATTTATTTCTTTTTCAAAATATTTTATTAATTATTATTTCCGTCATTGTTTATTATTTTCTATAGTATGGTTCAAAAAAAGGAAAAGGAGGAAATATATGGGATGAAGATGATGAGGAAGATGATGAGGAAGATGATGATGATGCGCCAGCTAACTGTGCTCAGCAATAGAGAAAAGAAATGTCTAATTTTTTATTTTTTTGCTTCCATTAATTGCATTCTTTGAATCTTTAAAATGACATTTTTAAATTCCTTTTTTTATTTGGCATTTTGAATTTTTCTTGATGGAAAAAAAATAATTTTTACTAACTTTATTATATATTCAATAGTTAAATATAGTCAATATAATCAATAAATCAATATAGTGAATAATTAATTTCTATTATAATTTGTTTATATTTAAAATCATAGATAAAAATATAGGCAATAACTAATATTAATTACATATATATGATTTTTCACTTGTAATTAAAAATCAGAAATTTGCAATTTTATATATATAATATATATTATTTATATTAGAAAAATCAAATTACTCCAGGTGAATGTAAAAAAATAATAAATTTTTTTATCAAGGCGATTTTAATAATTTCATGTTTTTATTGAAGTTTGATATTATGAAAGTTGATATATAATTTTCTAAAAAACTTAGTAAATAAATTATATCTTATTTAAAATTAAAAGGTTATTTTTTAATATATTTTATTGTACTATTATATATCTGGAAATATTCTTAAAATAGAATGTATTTTATTGTAAAAATTTTAATAAATCTAAAGTTTTTGAAATTTTATAACTTAACACTAGTCAAATGGAAAAAAATAAGATGATTTAATCATAAATAGAAATTCAAGTAATGACAAGTTTTGTCAAGATTTATTAATTATAAATAACACAGGTTAAATACAAAAGAATAGGTTGTACAAATAGGAATTCTGATTTTAACTGATTTATAATATAAGATAAAATAGTATAATTGATTTTAGCTAATTTATGACATAGGTAGGGTTGTTAATAGAATATAACAAGTTGAGTTGGGCTTATATTATAGTGGAGCAAAAGTTAATCCAACCCAAGTTAAATGTACTGGATTAATACTTCATGGGTTGCTTCAAGTTATTTCAGGTTACTCTGGATTGCTTCAAGTTATTCCAGGTTACTTTGGATTGCTCCATGAAGTAATAATTATAGTTAACATTCTTATTTAAGGAAAAATAAAAAATTTATACCTATTTTTAAATTAAAATAATTTTAAAACTTATATAATAATATCAAAAATAATTATATATTTTGGTTTCAAATTTAATT